CAGCTTTGCTGGAGATCGGGACACAGCAGGTTTGGTTTGGCTCCAGTGGGGAGTTTTCCTGCGAAGGTGGCACAAACTGTTTGACATGTGTTTCTACCCCAGTTCTGCAGAGAACCTTGGGACTTATATTTGTAAGAACAACTTGATTATATCACCATTGGAGCCCAGATGTGGTTTTGTAGATATGTTTTTGTCTTTTAAGGTTATTTTAAACAAATGTTTTTATTTTCCCTGGCCAATATAGTTTTTCCTGGGGGCTTTACTCTTTGATCTGGACTGGAAAAAATGATTCCATTTTAAGACCTCTTTAAACCTATCTTTGGATTTATTGGCTGTACAAATGGAGTTTCAGATAATAACTCTGTTCTTAATTGAAGAGAAACCAGAAAAGAAATTTCTTGCTTTGGAATGATAAACAGAGTGAAGCTACATGCCATATATCCTGGCAACAGTAATTCAAGGTCAGAAATAATTCCTTTCCTCCCGAGTCTGCTGCCAGCTTCCCTAAGGAGTGCAGTGGCTGAAATTTGCTACTAATTGTAGCCATAATTTTAGCATGCAATTAAACACATGATTTCCTTCCCAGCTGATGTCTTTTTAGCTCTCTGACATGGATAAAACAAAAGCTCTGCAGATATGAACGACCTTTTTAACCTGATAGATCCTAGAAAGTCACTATTATTTGAGTCCATTTGGTTACGCAGTAGGAACTAGATGAATCTTGCCTATAAAAATGGAGAAACAGCATGGGTGCTTTTAATACAGTTTTCAATACCGTTATCTGTGTCCTGAAGAAACTGAGAGTTGGTATGTCCATTTTGCTAAAGCCCTCCACGAGGTTAAGGATCATTTGAAGGAGTGATACTAGCTCGGGAGAAATCAGAGGTGGAAACTGTATGGTGGTGGTGGTGGGAGCAGAGGCTCACAGAGGTCACCTCGCGCTGTGGTGGACCTTGTGTTGGAGGGACCGCAGGACCTGAGAGTAGGGCTGCTCTAGGTTTCAGGCTGGCTTGTTCCGTGCTGCTTTTCTCTTGTTCGGCCTCTTCCAGAGGGTCATTTGCACTATAAGAGATGTTCCCCCTGAAATAAGGGCTCCTTGCCTGGGAAAGTTTGGGAACTACAAGAGCAAAGAAACTAAATAGGTTTTTCTACTTCAGGGTATCTTGAGAGCCTGTTGCATGCTGCTGTACAACGTGATTGTAGAAGGAAGAGTCCAAACAAATGTGGTTTTCGGAAGTATATGTCTGTGACATTCTTTATCAAGGAGGACCTGGTAGGACAGTTTGGGAAGTGTTGCTCTGCTTCTGTGGAGCCTTTCAACATGACTTTTCATAATAAGGGCAAACACTAATTTCGCACACATTGTGTTTTAGCCACTGTCCCAAGTACCCCCATGCATGGTCTCATTAAATTTTCATCATGATATAGGTCCTCTTGTTAGTATTCCTGTGATATAGTCAAGAAACTTGCTCAAGGCCTCAGAGCTAGTTAGGGCATGGACCTGTCCTGTCATGCAGCCTGAGTCCTGATTGCCCTTCAAGCCTTGGACCCTCTGTAGACTCACTGAGAAGCCTTTCTGATTTTCTTTTCAACCCCAAGGTAGGGACTCTGACGCTTTTTCAGGGCCAGAACCCCTCATGGTTCACATGCAGTACAATGTCATCGTCATCATGTACCTGTCTGTCCTCTGCACTAGACAACATGGTTCATGAGTGTCTGTCTGTCTGTGTCTTTGAGCTGGGTCTTTGGTCTCTGGTACAGTTGCTGTGAGTGAAAAGCAGTGAGTGATTCTTAAATGTAGACTTGATTTCATATTCTCTCTAATGGTGAACAGGAGCAGAGTGTTCTTGGATTCTGAGGATTCATACTAACTTTACATTGTGGACCCAATTTTTTTTTAAATTATATTTTATGGATCATTCTATTACAGTTGTCCTAATTTTTTCCCCTTTGCCCCCTCCACCCAGCACCCCTCACTCCCTCAGGCAATCCCCACATCATTGTTCATGTCCATGGGTCATGCGTATATGTTCTTTGGCTACTCCATTTCCTATACTATACATCCCCATGAAATTATCTGTTTGTACTTCTTAATCTCCTATTCTCCCACACCTTTCTCTCATCTGGCAATCATCAAAAGCTTCTCCATATCCATGACTCTATCTCTGTTCTTGTTTGCTTAGTTTGTTTTTTAGATTCAATTGCTGATAAATATGTATTTATTATCATTTTATTATTCATAGTTTTGATCTTTTTCTTAAATGAGTCACTTTAACATTTCATATACTAATGGTTTGATGATGATGAACTCCTTTAGTTTTTTTCTTAACTGGGAAGCTCTTTATCCACCCTTCTATTCTAAATGATACCTTTGCTGGGTAGATCAATCTTGGCTGTAGGTCCCTGCATTTTATGACTTTGAATATTTTTTGCCAATTCCTTCTAGCCTGCAAAGTTTCTTTTGAGAAATCAGCTGACAATCCTATGGGAACTCCCCTGTAGGTAACTTCTTTTCTCTTGTTGCTTTTAAGATTCTCTCTTATCTTTAACCTTTGGAATTTTAATTATGATATGTCTTAGAGTGGGCTTCTTTGCATTGAGATTCCTGGACTTGCTGGACTTGCATGTCTATTTTCTTCCTGAAATTAGGGAAATTTTCTTTAATTATTTTTTTCAAATAGATTGTTGATTTCTTGCTCTTTTTCTTCTCTTTCTGGCACCCCTATGATGCAAATGTTGGATCCCTTGAAGTTGTCCCAGAAGCTACATATGCTATGCCTTACACTATTCTTGTTTTTTTTGGATTCTTTTTTCATTGTGATTGGTTGTTTTTTGCTTCCTTATGTTCCAGCTTCTAAGCTTCATCCACTCTACTGTTTCCCTGTAAATTGTTCTTTATTTCAATGAGTGTATCCTTCGTTTCTGACTGGATTTTTCTTATGCTGTTCAGGTCCTCACTAAGTTCCTTGAGCATCCTTATAAACAGTGTTTTGAACTCTGCATCTGGTAGATTGCTTATCTCTGCTTTGTTTAGTTCTTTTTCTGGAGTTTTGATCTGTTCATTCATTTGGGCCATGTTTTTTTTTCTGCTTGTTTTGGTAGCCTCCCTGTATTTGTTTCTATATATTAGGTAGAGCTGCTTTGACTTCGTGTCTTGGTAGTGTAGCCTAATGTAGTAGGTGTCCTATAGGGTCCAGTGGCACAGCCTCCCCTATCACCCAAGCTGGGCACTTGAGGTGCACCCTTTATGTGTACTCTGTATACCCCCGTCTTGTACTTGAGCTTTGATTGCTGTTGGCAGATCAATGGGAGGGATTTACCCAGGCCAGTCAGTTGCAAGGACTGGCTGTGACTACTGACCACCAACATCCACCTTCTGTGGAGGATCAGCAATGTGAGGGCAGGGTGGTGGTGCTCTGATGTGGTCTATAGTTGCCCACTGGGTATGTGGCTCTGGGGTTTCCCAGGTGGTACAGGCCAAGGTCAGTCCCCACCTGTGTTTTGCCTGGGGCCACCCTGCCTGAGCTATAAAGGAATCTGAGGTGGCTGCTACTTGTGTTGGGTTTGGAGATTCCCAGGTGAAGCCAAGCTGTGAATTTTGGCTGGTTGCTGCCAGTTCTGGGTCTAGCAAGAGGTGTGGGGGCTAGCGGTGTTTAGGCCAGCACTTATCAGAGGTACTTGGATGGGTGGAGTTGATATTCTGATTATTCTCTGACATCTTCTCCCAAAGCATATTCTTGGCTTTCTTTTTTAAATGTAGGTCAGCCTTTGGGGATTGATCAGACACAATTGAGTGAGTCTGAGTGTTAAAACAGAGAGTTGGGAACAGGACACACAGAAGTGCTTTTTATGGGGCAGCCTGTGACCAGTTTGACAGTGCATTTCCTGGGAACAGGATGATTCTGCTGCCTCAGTGGGGTGAGGAGGGTAGGTGAGGCAGGGGGAGATGAGTAGCCCCAGCTCTGAACAGTTCTGTCCTATGAAGAGTGAGGTGTCTCCTCAGTTCTCTGCCCTGAGGTGTCATCTGTAGGTTGACCAGCCTTTTGACCCCATAGTTGTAGAGCAGGACCACCTTCCTACCTTATACTATGTGGGACTGTGGGCCAGTTACAAGGCAGTTTTTGAGATTATTTTTGGGGAAGCTCCTGAGCTTCCTTTTCCTTTATATTTAAATAGTTTAAAAATTATGAAACATACAGAAAATAGATAGCTATGTACTTCCTACCCAGTTGGTCTCATTTACTTAGATCTCTCTCGAATTCCACCACCTCCTGCCTTCTCTTCAGTACAAATGTTGCTACTATCCTGTGTTTGCATTTGTCTTTCCTGCCCATGCTTTATTTTGATGCACACACACACACACAAATATATACATATATGGATAATATCCATTAATAATATAACTTGTTTTTTATGTTTAGAAATATATAAATTATACAATAATGTGTCCCCTTACAAGTTATTTTTTTAAAGATTTCATTATGTTTTTGGGATTTGCCCTGTTGAGAGATAAAGCATTAAGGTTATGTTTATACATTCATTCGCCCACTCAGGGGACAGTAAAATTGTGTCCACTTTTTTTTTTTTTTAAATAAACACTGCCAGAATAAACCTTTGAATGTTTCCTTTTTTCAAAGAGTTTCTAGAGCAGACTCCCCAAAGTAGAATTCTAAGATGGTAGAGCTTGTTCTTCTTGAACTTTACTGGGTATAACACCAAAAAACCCTCCCACATGGTTGTACCAATTTACTCTCCTGTCATTTTAGAGGCCTCTTAACCCACATTTCTCCCTCTCTTTGTGTTACCAGATCTTTTCATTCTTGGCAAGTTTGTAGGGTATGTGGCAGCACCTCTGTTGTTTAATTTTGTATTTCCCTCACTACTGGTGGCATAGGCCATTTGTACTCTCCAGATTTTTGATTACACTGATATAGGTGTGCTTTCTAGTTGGGGTAATCTGGGGTCTCCATCTCTTGTAACTGTTTAAATTGCTCTTTCAGATGGCAAGTTTGGTGCGTACATGCAAGTCCACATTCAGAACGATGGGCCTGTGACCATAGAACTGGAATCCCCAGCTCCTAGTGCTGCTACTTCTGACCCAAAGCAGGTAAGCCTGGAGTCAGGGTCTGTTTCCTAGATGCCTGTAACATCTTTTGGCTTTAATTAGTCCCTAGAGCACTTCTCAATCTGTGGTGGACAGAACACTTCATTGCCATAACCTAGTATTTATTTACACCTTACCTCCTTAGTGCTGTGGCAGGCAGGCATAGCACTTCTCCCTTGAATCCTCCTGACTTTGGATTCCAGAGAGAATAAGTGTCTTTTGCAGACAATCCAGTTCCTCCTCTGGGCTCTTGCTCGCTGGCAAGGTGCTTTGGCACCTGCACACCACTGGGTGGCAGCAGAGTAACGGCACAGTCCCCCCTGGCCCTGGACTGGCTTGTTCACCCATTCAAATAGTTACCGCCAGTGGGTTTTTTCCCAGGTGTAAGCAGATGTGTCACCCAAAGTTCTTTGTAAAACCTCATTTTTCTAAAGCAATATCTGACCTGGATTTGGTGCAAACTTTGTAAGCTTTCACAAAAAAATTTAAATTAAAATGGAGAAAGGAAATTTCTTGATAGTCCTTGTAACCTATGTGTTCTCATAGATGTGCAACAGTTCTAAAGGCTTCAATTAACATACCGACTTCATAGCCTTGCAGACACAGAGGCGGGGGTAGGCAGAGGAGTGAGAACTGAAGTGACATTTCTGTTCCTCCTTCCCTCCCTTGCTAAGATGCTGTGAAGCGGAATGATGCAATAGGTGTGGGGAAGGATTATATAAATTTAAGGCTATATGACCTGTTTAAAGTTATAATTTCTCCAGGGAACATAACCTTTCTTTCTTGTTACTGATTCTTTGGATTAATAGAGAAGCAAGACCATGTCTGACAAAGTAGTGCTAGACTTCGAAGGTGATAATTGAGGTTCCTAGAATTACTGAGAACATGAAAGAAATCACAAATAAAAAATCCACATGAAAATTTAAACTTTTTATATTGAAATAATTTGACACTTACAGATGAGTTGAAAAAGGAGTCATAGTTTGCAGATACTTTTTCCCCAGTTTCCCCAAATATTAATCTTTCATAATCAGAGTACACTGATCAAAACCTTGAAATTAATATTGATATAATACTGTTAACTACATGACAGACCTTATTTAAAAAGTTCCTTTGTCTTTCTTTTTCTTTCATGACCTTGACACTTTTCAAGACTATTGTTCTTTAGTTTGGGTTTCTTACCATTGCATTGAGGTTATATGATTTTTGGGTTTCTTTTTGGGATAATTAAGAAAAATTATAATTAACAAAATACAACTGAACTGATGAAATACAAAAGTAAAACAACCAATACTTTTTAAAGGATCAATAACTGTGAGAAAAGAAATAATGAGGTTATATGTTTTGACAGGACTAGCAAATAGCGCGAAACTGATCTTGTGCCCTTTTTAGTGTTTCATATGTGTAGGTACGTGGTATTGAATTGTCTTATTACAGGTGCTATGAACCTTGATTACTTGGTTAATGTGGAGTCTACCAGATTTCTCCACTCTACAATGAAGTTTCTTCCTTTGTCTGCCCTCTTGCTCATTCATAGCAGATGACTCTTTTTCTGCTTCCTAGAGACAGAAGGTATTGGATGGTGCTGACTTGCTTCTCCATTCCCTCTTCCTGTTCTCATAGCTGAGCTGTCCTTCCTGGTGCTGAGACCAGCATCTTCCACTGGGCCAGGCAGGGCTACATAATTTGTGAGGCTCATTGCAAAATGAAAATGGGGGCCCCCTTGTTCAAAAATTTTTAAGAATTTCAACATGGTGACAGCATTAAACAAAGGTGGAGCCCTTCTGAATGGGAGGCCCTGCCTGTGTGACCACACAGGTTGTGCCCCTATGGAGCCAGATTGCCATGGGCTGTGGAGCCCTCCCCGCCCTTCCCACAGTTCCTATCCTACCCATCTTCCTTCTCAGCAGCCTCCACTAAGTCCTTTGTCCTCTCGTCAAGTCAGCCTGTCTCTTTAATTTATCCATTTTATTCTCGTTGGCTTTTAATTATTTCCAGGGATCTCCAATTGAGAAATACCTCTGTTTTCTCTCTTCTTATTGGCTCCTCGGTGCACTCCTCTAATCTTCAGAGACTCTCACTGAAGTCGCCAGCAACTTCCATGTTGCTTTATTTCACGGCTGTGAACTGAATGCCCACCTGACTTGACCACTCAGCAGCTCTTTTCACAGTTGCCCCCTTGCTCCTGGAACCCCCTTGAACCTTGTTTTCCAGGATACTGGTCTCTCCCAGTTTCCCTTTTGCCTCTGGCTGTTCCCTCTGGTTTTATTTATTCATTATTCTGTAGTTTTGATTTATTACTCTACTTTAATTGTATTTTAAGAAAAAAATGTAGTCAATTTTCTTTCATTCTAAATATTTTTCTAAAAGTGGTAGAATAATATCTCATATCTTTAGGATCTTCAATCTTCTTTTGTAACAGAACCACTGGGTTCTATTGCCCACCGCCAACAAAAACCCATGACTCCCCATGCCAGAGTCTTATGACAAGGAAAGGAACTATTTATTCAAAAGTTATGCAGGTTCAGAGTAATGGCAGAATTCTGCTTTTAAATCCCAAAGTCCCTTAAAAGTGAACACACATAAACACACACAGTCCTGCCTTCCCTTGCCAAACTAAGTCTGCCTCAGAGTATACCAGCCAGGGGTACTGTCTCTTAGAAAAACAGAAGTCCACAGTCCAGCTAGGCAGGTTCCCATCTGTATTCTGGCTTCTCCTAGTCATCTGTGCTCGGGTAGGCTCCCACTCTTAATCCAAAACCACATGGCCTCTCCTCATGATGGACTGGTGGGGACCCTTCTGCATCATTTCAAATCACATGGCCAAGGCCTCTCCCAAGCCACATGGTCAAAAGAGCCTTGCATGGCTAAGATAGCATGGCTGCCCCGCACTTGAGTTTAAATCCTCACCCCGCTCCTCTGTAATCCCATTTCCAACTCCTCCCACAATCCTTTACCTCTGCCAGTACTCTGGTCTCTTCTACCTTTCCTGGCTACCATTGTTAGTCCAGGCAGGCTTGGCCCTGTGACATAGGAACCACCTCCTGGCTACAACACAGGTTAGAGTCACCCCCATCTCCCTGGTTCCTCCGCTACAGCTACTTAAAATATCTATGAAGCTGGCCAGCTGTTATTGATATGCAAAATACCTCTCAACTGGTTCATTCATTTCCCCATCCCCCAGGCGATAGCTGTGGGGGTGTTCCAGTTTTGGGGTTCTCTGTATTTCCTGTTACACTTTTCACTAGTGCCTCCTCTTTTGTTCTTTAAAACAAAAATAGGCACCATTTTTAAAACATCTAATGAGGCAAACTAACTTATTAGGATAATGAAGTCCTTTATTTCGGTTATTTCTAAATCTTTTAGGAGCTTCTTCCTCAAATATGTGAATTGTCCTGTTTCAACTTCAATTATTTGTGTCTGTTAACTGACACCAGAAGTCTCAGACCCTGGAACTGCACAGATCTTTGTCCTCCAGCTGTCCAGTAGGTGCCGATTAGTAGGCATGGAAGGGGCCTATGTGGTGGTGGCTGCTGGCTTTTGCTCATGGCCTTTCTGTCTTTTCATCCTCAGTAAGAAGGGGATTCTCTTTGGGCAAATAGCTCATTTGTTTATTTTTGTGTTGGTAGGAAGACTGCTGCCAATTTTTTTTTTTTTTTTTTTTTTTGCTGATAGGTAAACACGCATTTCTATCAACAGAGCTTTTAATTAATTCTAAGTGTTTTATATTCCCATGATAATGATAATCCAACTACTGCAGTAGTGAAAAAAATGCATGTATTACAGAGGAGTGATTCTTTTGGCAGGTTTTTAAATGCAGGTTCTTTCAGTCATTGGAACAAATGAACACTGTGTGTGTGTTTATGCATCAAGTGTCTCTTTCGTATACAACAGTGTGCTGGGCACTGTGAGGAAGAGAAAGAAGTGCTGTGACACAGTCCCTGCTCTCAAGGATAGTGTTAGAGTAACAGAAATCTGGAAGGTTAGTGACAGTGAAAGAGGTAAAGAACAGTATGGTCAACTTAGGACATGCCACAAGGCCATCATTTCATGCTCTTTTAAATCTATGCTCTGAATGCCCGGCCTTTGGTGGGTGGTTTTCTGTGGCCTGCTTTACAGCCAGCAGTCCCTCACTCTGCCCTTGACCCCCTGTTGCCTCCTTTCTATTCTGAGAACAAGTTGAGCTCTTTTCTACCTCTGGGTTCTGGTCTCAATGTCAGTGCTTCCACCTCGAAGGAGATCCTCTGACCCCCTTGTTCCCAAGTAAGCCTCCATCAACTCTGCTGTCATGTAGCTCTGATGATTTATTCCACAGCACTTAGCACAATGTGTTATCTGTGTGTTTCAGTGTTCCTTATCTGTCCACATCACTCCTAAAATTTAAGCTTCCTGAGTCTTGTCCAGTGCTTTGCTCTCCCCAGGAGGTATGTCTGGTGTAGTTAGTTTTGGAATCATGTGTCACAGGCTTGTGAACTGTGACATCTGTGAATGTCCTGAGTTCTGCAATGGCTGATGCCACTGCTGTCACTGTTGAGTTGGATAGACCTTCCAGGGCACTGGAGGTTTTAGCTGACCTTTAAGGATGCAGAGGAGAGGAGGCATTCTCAGTTGTTGTTTCAAAGCTTGTACTGCTAATAGGTGTGGGTTTTTGATTGTAAGGGTCCCCGAGCTCTTTCTGGGTGGTGCAGATACTGCTAGCAAAGACTGAGCGGGTAAAGGTAACTATTTGTTTGCCTGATTTAACCAGATTTCTGTTTTCAGAACTGGCCACTGAAGCCTCTGTCTGTTTTCCCATGGCTGCATCAGCACTGTGCCCAGTGCTTTTATAGGCAGATGTGTGGGTCCCATAATGTGTTCTGACAGTGGGGAGAAGTTGGAAGAAGAGATTGCATTCTTGTTCTGAAGGACGTATCTCTAATGAGAATAGGGTATGGAAACAGTAGCAGAACCACTAAACAGGCTGTTCTCCCTATTGCATTTTTGTGGAAGAACATGATTCTGGT